CTGCTATTGCTATCTATCTATTTATCTATCTGTCTGTCTGTCTGTCTGTCTGTCTGTCTCTCTCTCTCTCTCTCTCTCTCTCTCTCTCTCTATCTCTATCTATCATCTATCTATCTATCTATCTATCTCTGTCTATCTATCTATCTATCTATCTATCTATCTATCGGATTGTTGGGGGCGATATGCTGACTCTGTAAACCGCTTAGAGAGGGCTGAAAGCCCTATGAAGGCGGTATATAAGTCTAACTGCTATTGCTACAAAATTGAATAATTTGGGAAAGAACGCAGAGTTATAGGGTGGGAGTTGAATTAAAAGGCAATTGAAATGTAAAGGTAAGATAAAAATAGATTTTAAAAAAATGATGTAACTGTTAAATATAATGACACAAAGATTGTACCCAGATGACACACTTGTAAATTTAATGGTGTAAGAGTGGTTAATGGGGGGGGGGGACATTTCAAAAAAAGAAAATTGGACAGAAAGCAAGTTTAATAAACCATTATTGGGGTTTTTTGTGGTTTGTTGAAAACCAACCAATGTAGCTGACAGCCAGGTGACATAGAAGCTTAATAAGTCACCATTGTTATGATGAAGTTTGATCGACTTTATTGCTGATTTGAGGGTTGTAAGCTGCTCCGAGTCATTGAGATTTGGACAGCATATATCAATATTATTAACCTTTCATTGATTGCACTGTAATTTATCTGTTGTGAGCCGTTCAGTCATTGAAAGTTGAGCTGCAAAAAAGCTAAATAAATCAATACATGATTTTTCTTTTATTGCAAGCAACGTTCCCGGTATGCAAAACCGGCAGGCGTGGGGAGGAGGATAACAACACAAGGAAGGAAGGGGGAGCAATCCGGGACCCTCCCTGCAATCCCGGGGTAAAAGGCGAGCCTCCTTCCCCAACCGGGCGCCCCCTGCGCTGCACCGGGCGGATTTCCACCTGGCAGCCAAAGTCTCGGCTACAGCAAGGCGGGGGATGCGGCGGGTGCTTGGCCGGAGGAGGCTCTCCTCCCGCGGAGCCGGCCGCCGCAGCCGCCCTCCAAGAGGGTCCCTCTGCCTTGCCCCGCTGGCTGGGAGCGATGGGCGTTGTAGTGCGGCGCTTCGGGGGAGACCGATCCCCGCCCGGAACCCGCTTTCTGAGCCCGTCTCTACCTGAGGAACTGCTCGGGGCGACCCGCAGCGGCGCCCAGAAGCGCCAAACACGTGTCCAGCCGCTGCCGTGGAGACGGGGCCGCAGCGAGGTCCGCCATGCTTCTAGGGCGCCTCTTCGGCGCGTCCGTCCCCCAATCGGCTCCGCCCGGAAACGCTCGCTCCGCGGAGGAAGGTTCCGCTTGGAGAAGAAAAGGTCCGGGTGGCTCTGCTCTACAAGGGTGGCGAGTTGTCTGGCCGGGCAAACCAGCGGAGCTCCCGAACCTTTTGCAATGGGGGTGAAGGCAACGGACGCTTTTATTGCACAGCTCTCCCTTCTCTCCCTCCCTATGTCTCTCTCCCCTGTACACCTTCCCAACAGCCCTGCAAGGTGGGGCGGCCATCCCATGGAAAGGCTGAGCGACACGTTTGCACGGGATGGGCATGCACAGACGGCCTGCAGAGGCGGGTCCTTTGGGGCAGGTGGCGTCGTCGGAGCGCATTCAGCCTTTGGAAAAAGAAAAGCCTGCTTTGCAACAGGCACTCAACCCCCCCTTAGCATCCTTAGAACTGCTCCCCAACCTCCCGCTGATCGGAAGGAGCCTCGCCGCCCCTAAGTGCTGCATCCCCTGCCTTGCATTGTCACCTCTATTTTTTGTGGTTGTGGTTGTGAAATATATACGTCAAAAAGTACCTATTGGGGGAAAGGGAGCGGGACTCTTGAAAAATGCAGGCGCTAGGACCTAGCGGCGGTTCTTCCTCTGCTTTGCGAACGGCCGCTGTTCCTTTTGGCCCCGCGGCGACGCCGTTGCCAGTTCCTCTTTGGCTTCACCGCGCCCGAAAAGGCGAAGGAGCCGAGGCTGGCCTTGCCAGGTATAAAGATGGCCGCCCTCAAGGGAAAATTGGTGGCAGGTACGTGCTGGGGAGTTGGGGGAAGAAACGGGGAGGGGGAGGGAGGCGCTTTCTGCACCAGAGACCCCTTTGCAACTTTGCCGGGTGGGGCCTTTTGCACGCTTGCAATGCTTGCATTGGTGCAGGCGCGCATGAATGCCTGCAAAAAAAAACCTCCATCCTGCCGCTGCGCGAGATTAAAGGGTTGCAACAGCTGGATTGAAGCTGGGTGCAATGCTCTTTCCCTGGGACGGTGCTTGCAAGCGCGCAAGTCGCGGGGTGCAATTCCTTCCCTCGCCTGGAATGCATCCTAAGGGTAGGCTGCTCCTGTACATGGAGGCTCCATTGCCACCGCAGGGCAGCTCATGTCTCTACCTGCCTGCTTTGGGGGAATCGCAGATTGTGTGGTCTGCCCTGCCCGGGGGGAGAAGACAACCCAATATCCCTCCGTGTCTGTGGGGCAGGCAGTCCTATAGTATCTTTTCAAAGGGAGCTTCATTTTGTACTCCTGAATGGCATGATACAGCGGTGTTTCTCAATGGACTTCAACTCCCAGGATTCTCCACTCATCATGGTGGCTGGGGAATTCTGGGGAATTGAAGTCTGCACGTTTTAAAGTTCCCAAGTTTGAAAAACACTGCCCCCAAACTCTTGAACTTGATTGACAGAACTGCCAAAGACGGTCTATAAAACATCTGACTGATTGTGGGAACAACAACAACAATAATAAAGTGCAACAGCGATAATTTAAAAAACAGCTATGATGGTACTTTTAACATCGTCAAATAAGAATATCTGCTCTCCCAAGTCCTTGGGAACGACTCAATAGGTGGATAAAATGCCAAATCCAGCCTAAACATCTGGCTGACTGTGCAACCAACCACAATAATAATATCTAACATTTAGGACAGTAGGAAACTTCCAAGACCATTTTTTAAAATTGCATCGCATAATTATTTTGTTGCAGCGATCTTTCCAATAACACAGCGGACAGTAAACTGCTTGTCACATTTGTCTACGAGTTGTGGCAGCTCCAACAGGCACATCTGTAGTCCCCCATCCCCCCCAATGTCCCTGCAGGGCAAGTTCCTCGCCCCTCAATCCTGCCTACAGCTAAGCTGGCAACTAGTTCAAAATGTGAACAACAGAAGTGCAGATTTCTTTCATGTCCGTCTGAAGAACCAGCTGCTTCCACTTACCCCCAGCCTTAATGTGGGGTGGAAAAAATGGATTAGCTTATTCATATTTGCAGTTTTAACACATTTGTGAATGTGAAACATCAGGCATTTTGCAGCGTGCTTAACAGCTGGGGAGAGAAATGCTAAAAGATTTCTACTGTGATACTATAAACATTGTATAGGACATTTGGGGATTTTCAGGCATGGGTGCACAACCCACATTTTCTGCTCAAGGAAACCAGGCTCTGGGTCCTTCTGGGAAAGTTTGATATTTGGCTGTTGGGAGGGTAACTTTGTGTGTCTAAATTCTTGAGAATGAGGGAGCATTTTCAACAATCTTGTTAGTCCCTGATTTATAGTACATTTACCCTAGTGCAGTGTTTCTCAACCATGTCAACTTGAAGATGTCTGGACTTCAACTACCAGAATTCCCCAGCCAGCGAATGCCAGCCACATGACCACAGAGACGTCTTTGGACAGCGCTGGCTCTTCGGAAATTAAAAGATTCGGGAACGAGTAGCACATATTTGCGGGGGGAATCTTTACCTTTATATTTGTAAGATCTGGGCTGTCTTCTGAGCTGACATTTCAACCCAAAAAACTGAGCAGTGTTTTTTCAACTTTGGCAGCGTTAAGCGGGGTGGATTTCAACTCCCAGAACTCCCATGCTGGCTGGGGAATTCTGGGAGTTGAAATCCACCCCTCTTAACGTGCCCAAAGTTGAAAACCCATATTCTAGAGTGCAATCCAACTGAAGCCGCCTTAATTTTCAGACCAGGAGAAGGAGCAAAGAATGCAGAACATGCCAGGAAAATACGATGATTTTATGGCGTCTTCCTCCACATCCATATCTGGGAGGTGGGTTATCTGAAGGCCACCGTTCTTCCTTCCTGGCCTTACCGTCCTTCACACCTGCAAGGTTGCACCTGGCACCACCACCCCCAGAGGTGACGAGTCGTAGCACCCGAGCTTTCCGACACATTTGGAGACGTGGTTTTTCTCCTTGTTCCAGGTCTCTTCACGCGCCTCCACTGGAGCTCTCCGACGGTCAGATGGTCCTCAGACCGGGCGATTCCCCAAGCTTTGTGGAAGTTGGGGCGGCTCAACCATGTGGCCATCGCCGTGCCTGACCTGGAAAAAGCCACCGCTCTCTACAGGGATGTGCTACAAGCCCGCGTGAGCGAAGTCCTTCCCCTCCCCGACCACGGGGTCTACACGGTCTTCGTGGAGCTGGGAAACACGAAACTCGAGCTTCTGCACCCCCTGGGAGAAAAAAGCCCCATCACGGGTTTCCTGCAAAAAAATAAGGCCGGGGGGATGCATCACATCTGCCTGGAGGTATTTTCTGGTTTTGTTTCGTATCAAAGATGTTGTTAGTTGCAAAGTCGTGTCCGACCCATCGCGACCCCCTGGACAACGTTCCTCTAGGCCTTCCTGTCCTCTCCCATCCTCTGGAGTCCATTGAAGCTCATGCCGGCTGCTTC